TCCAAGGCCACTGCAAGCTCGCCGTCCAGGGCTTCCGCCCTAGGCGCCTCCTCGAGGCGGACGTCGATAGTGTTGACCCTATGTTTGCGAGCGCGGCTCCTTGGGTCTTCTTCTCGGGCGTACCGTGGAACATTTCTTCCCCTGGAAATGCCTATGCCCTGGGGTGCTACGAACTTCAGCGTCTGGTGACAAGTGGACGCCACGCCATTGAACTGTGCTAGTAGCGGACGATCAAGTATCACATTGTAGGGCGATGGGCAGTCTACGATTCCAAATTCCACTGCATGCGTCACACAATGTGTCTCATCTCCGAGGGTCACTGGTAGGCGTACACGCCCGATGACCTGAGCTGGCGCACCGGAAAACCCAATTAACACCGAACTCGAGGGGCGTACCAACTCCGGCGCCAGTTGCATGCGCTCAAACGTGCTCTTGAAGAGGACATCCATTGAGCTGCCAGTATCAACTAACATCCTTTTCACTTTACATCCTGCGATCACCCCATGTATCTCCAAAGCTTCCTCCGACGGGATCTGGCATGCCTCGTCCGGCTCTTGATTGAAGTTGATTTGCACTGCTTCCCTTGCTTCAATTGAAGCGGATCTCAGGCGCCTAGACCTTTCCAACTTCTCCCTCAAGTCTACAGTGCCGGTTATGGATTCGACCGTGAGCCTGATGCGACTCGGCTTTCCCTCTTGGTTTACTTCAAATGGGGGGGGGGGGGGTGGTATCATCGGCTCCTGTGGGGTTTTCGGCCTTTCTGGCGCCTCTTGGGTCCCTGGGGCTTCATGCGCCTTTGAGTTCCTTGTGGCTTCTGGCGCCTGTCTCGCCACGTACGTCCGGTGAGTCCTGTCTTCCGCCCTCCTAACAAAGTCATTGAGCATGCCTTTGTCGGCTAACGCCTGTAGTTCGGCTTTAAACTGGTAGCAGTCGGCCGTGTAGTGCCCCTTGTCGCGATGAAAGTCACAATACCTATCAAGGTTCTTCTCGTTTGGTTGGCCGCGCATGGGCCCCGGCCACCGTATGTGGTAGCCCCTATCTTTCACATACTGTAGTACATTCTTTAGTGTATCATTGTATTCAGTAAAGTTGGCTGAGCTTCTCGGCACAGGGCGAGGTGCCTCAGGCCTTCTTTGCGGACCATAATTCCCGGAGGGCACCCGGGGCGCCTGCCTTACCTCCAATTCATCTCCCCTCAGGCGCCTCTTCTCAGCTCTCCGTGCCGCCAACGTCTCCTCCAACATGATTACCTTCTGCACCCTTCGGTCCAGGTCTTCTGTGGACACCACATCCCGCTTGGAGAGGACTCGGCAGAGTTCCTCGCTCGAGGTACAAGCGTCCAAGCAAACCCCCAGTACCGCCGGTTGGACGTCTTTGACTGCCATGGCTACAGAGATCCATCGGTCGTAAAATTCTCTAAGCGCCTCCCCCTCCCTCTGCTTCACCTTGAACAATGCGCCTATGGTTAGTGTCCGGCGCTTCCTACTTGCAAACTTGGACAAGAATAACTCCGCAAACTGCTCAAAGCATTCGATGCGCCCCTCTTCGATTTGATGGTACCAATCTAACACTACGCCCGCAAACGTGGATGGGAACACCTTGCATAACGTGGCGTCTGAGCTGTTGTACAGTTGCATCTTCGTGAAGTAGCTATTCAAATGATCCTCTGGGTCCGCCACCCCGTCGTAACTGGGTAACGGGGGAATTGTGGTTCCCGCCGGTTCCACTAGGATGCTTCGCGCCAATGGTTGCCTGACCCCGAACCGCTTGGCGATTCTTTTAGGCGCCCACAAGTCTTCTGGCTCCACCTGGGTATGCTTAGTAGGCATTTTCCAGGCGCGTGAACGCCTTGGTGCGTCATGTCCTTGGTCAGCTTGGTACGGGTGCCCGTGCTGCAAAGACTCCAAATCTTCTCCCATCATTTCTCGTTTCCTGACGCCCGGGCTATACATCATTACGTCCTCACTTCGCTCCCCATCCAACTCCCTTCTGAGCGCCGCAATGGCCCGATCCTGGTCGGCTATAATTCGGAATAGCTCTATCTTCGTCAAAGACTCCCCTTCCTCCGCCGATAGGCGCCCAGGGCTCGCTTCCCCTTCTGCCTCCATGCTCAGCTCTCGGCTCGGTTGCCGCTCGCCTTCCTCATGACTCGAATTGTCCAACCTCGAAACATCTTCCCCGTCGTTCAAGTTTTCCAATTGCTTCGCCCCCTTTCTGGCGCGCCAATTGTTTGAGCCAAGTTCCTCCGGTCCCACCTTCCTCGATCTGTGCCCCTTCGAACTCAGTACAGGCGCCTGGTTCCTGCAAGGACAAGCGCCTAAAGGGCTCGGGAGTGCCCGTTAGCACTCCGACGCCCAAGTCAGAACTAAGTTTAGAGAGAGAAGTGTCAAGTCTGGTTTTAGTGTCAGAGGCCAACCTGCATAAATGTTATCGACTGCCCCTATTTATACTCACCGAACCCGAGGTTGATCTCCGCCACGTCACCTTCCTCATTTAATGCCCTGCGGCCCCAGACAGCTAACTGCCCTGTCAGACTCCTGACACCTGACTGGCATTCCACAGCTCTGCCAGGCTCCTGACACACGACAGGCGCCCGCAGGCCGTGGTCCACCAGCCAGTTGGCCGCCACCTGGCTTTTGGTGCACTGTGAGACAGCTAACCGCCCTGTCAGACTCCTGACAACTGACAGGCGCCCCCAGGCCGTGGTCCACCAGCCGGTTGGCCGCCACCTGGCTCTTGGTGCTTTACTCTTGAGGTCCCTTCTCTTTTCTTGGGCCCGAGGGCCACTAGTGAATATTGGTTCTTACCTTTTGGGCCTTGCCCCCTAACTCCTTCTTTGAGGAGCCCAATCTCTTAGCTTGCTGGGTAATACCCCCAACAATACTATAATGTCAAAATTACAAGTTCAATTTGTCACAATTTATTTTTATAAACCAAAACACCAATACAGTAAAACATTGTAAATTTCCTCAGACTATCAAAATTCGACAGTACTCTCCTAAAAAAATTACCACATTATCGTATGCATTATCTCGAAACAATTCCATCTGAGAAGCTAGATATTATGTTGGTCATTGGTTAATCAATCAACTTTCTTCCAAGTCGCAGTAACTTTAAGGCTTAAGCTGCGGTCAATGTTTCCCATCCCATCATTTTGAATAATGACAGACAAAGTCGCTCTCTGTCTCAGAGACGGCCGAATTGACTTATTGGAACGGCGATCCATATGTTGCTTCAAAACACTAGTGTCCCAAGTCCAACTTCCTTTGCTATATTATAAAAAAGCGGATTAACGTGACCTTTAACCTTTATTTGATCAGGGAGAAGAAACTCTCGGTGAGAACTTGTCTAACAAAGTTTCAATGGATTACTTTGATCTTCAATTCCTATTAAACAATCTTAAAACCTCAAGATTTTCGCAAATAAGATCAACCTTAAATCTTCAATTCAAAAGTTACTAATAATCTTGCTTACTTACTTAGCAAGTACTGCCGCGCGCATCACTGCCAATTTCTGAAAATTTGTCACATAAACTTTGCGTCACTTTAGCAATTGGGAAACAATTGGGGATGACGATGCTCTAAGCATCGTTAATTGTTGCACCATAAGTAATAAGAATATGGGGATAGTATTTTTGTATGGTCTGAAATTTGATGTGTTTCAGACAACTATGGGTCACAATATAAACAAATAATTTTGTCGAGATCTGTAAATTATTAATAAGACTTGAATATGGCTCAGACTTCATGATTGACTATTCCCTTAACCATCAACTCATCCGCGGTGGAGGTGTCGTAAACCAGTTGGTCCCAATAACTCGAGTTGTTGGGATAAGGTTATGTTGGATCTTATACCACACTCTAACACGCCCCCTTCAAACGAAAGCCAACTCACGGGCTTGAAGTTTGCACAGGCCCACCATACCTTGTGCTTTAATCAATGGTTAACATAGGGGGTCGTGAAGATTCAAACACACCACCACTTGGCCAAACCAGCTCTGATACCATGTCATAAACCACCTGTTCCCAATAACTCGAGTTGTTGGGAGAAGGTTATGCTGGATTTTATACCACACTCTAACAGTAGATCTGACATATGTCTCATGTCATTAACACCCAATGTGTTGATCATTAAAGATGAACAATTATTCTTCTGTTCATACAAAATTTGCCTTTGGTAATTCAATAATTTAGATACTATTCTGATTGCAATCCTTGGGATCATAATATTAATGAATTGCAAACCTTTCATTCAACGATTCCCGTGCCGGGAATAAGGTTGGACTTTCGCCATATGTAGACAGAACACAAAACGCCAATAAGTCATATATATGACCTCACAAAAAACGATGTTTATTAGCATCTCCTTCGTTAAAGCTTAAACCACACTCCTCACCTAACCATATATTGAATCTCTTCCTTTCCTTTTGACTCTTTGATCCAATAGCCGTACAGACACATGCAAGCTAGCTTGTAACGAATCAGCCAAAGACTGTTGACTCACTGATTGTGAATCTCAACCGTTGTGATCGGACGATCCGCATAAATTTTTAGAATTTTTTCCCGCGTATTTCAAATATTACAACCATCTAATAGACGAAAAGATTACATAAAATAAAATTGCTAAATATCGATTGGTCTGATGAAAAATCGACTATCAAAAGTCATGTGAGTATTGATTTTATTGAAACAGAATGATTAAAGATCGTTAAAGTTGAAAATCGAGACAAAATTTATCCATTAGCATATTGAGGCACTCACAAGTCACACCGTTGAAACTTTCCACATTCCCTGTGGTTACACGTAGCTATCACAATGAAGTATTTGAGCCCAATTGTTTGACAAATTTTATTAAGGACGGCGTTGAAATTCAAATGCAAAAAGACAAAACAGTTCATTTTCTTTCTTCCTTTTCGTTGCACCTTTAAACTAATCCACGAGAATAGTCAGAAGGATTATATATACACATGTACTGCTAATCATATTCACTCTGCCTGATCTAGCTAACTGGTTTGTCGTTCCAAACACCTTGGAATAACAAACAGAGAACTCTTCTGCACACACAGAAGAGATAAGACTCTGCAAACATGAGTTTCAGAGAAGGAGGAGGAGCGAATGGAATTGGTGGGTCAAGGAAAGTGGCCGCCATGGAAATGGAGCTCGAGGAAGCTGCGCCGGTCTTGGATTCAGGGGAGAAGCGGCTCAACGAACTTGGATACAAGCAGGAGCTCAGAAGGGAAATGGTAATTAATAATTAACTACTTTCCGTGTGTTTTGAAGAGCACCGTAGATCTCTCCGGTGGATTAGTCTTGTTGATCAGACATAGCATGTTCAAATTTTGTGTCCTTCGTTCTCGATTTAGACTTATTTACATGGTATCAGAGCTTGTGTAGTGAAGGTTGGATAGTAAAACCCTTTTGGAGAGCACCATCTCTCCCGTAAAATTAGTCGTGTTGAGCAGAAATGCCACGTAAAAATCTTGTGTTTTTCGTTCTCGATTTAGACTTCTTTCCAATAGTAGGTTACGTACATGATAGATTTTTTCTTAATTGATTTTATTTGGCATACAGACGTTCTTGAAGATACTCGGGATAACGTTTTCGAGCATGGCGGTGTTCGTAGGGACGCCGCTGTATGGGCCGAGCCTGAGATACGCTGGGCCGGCGAGCCTGATATGGGGCTGGCCCGTCGTCGTCTTCTTCACTTGGTTCGTCGGCGTCGCCATGTCTGAAATCTGCTCTTCTTTCCCTGTATGTATATGGTTAATTGGTTCACAATTAATTAATTAATTAGTTGGTAGATCTTTTCTCTGTTTCGTTGACTGAATTGTATGATCACTTCAATTATCAGACCACGGGGTCACTCTACTTCTGGGCCGCTCACTTGGCTGGGCCGAGATGGGGCCCATTCGCATCCTGGTGCTGCGCCTGGCTCGAGACCATCGGCCTTGTTTCTGGAGTAGGTGCTCAGGTAATAATAGTTAAGGGATATGTTCCATAAAAAAAAAAAAAGTTAAGGGATATGTAATTTGGAAAACTAGTAAATGAGCCTTAATCATTCTAATAATAATATCAAAATTTTGTGAGATTACTAATAAAACCATATTTGGGTTCCTCTGTTTATTTCTGATGTTAGGCATATTCAGCATCTCAATCGCTACAAATGATCATTCTGCTGGCTACGGGGACCAACACCGGAGGAGGCTACTACGCGTCGAGAGGGGTATTTTTGTCAATGTACATCGGGTTCACTCTCATTTGGGCAACCCTCAACACCTTTGCACTTGAAGTCATTGCTTTCTTTGGCATCATCTCCATGTGGTGGCAGGTATGTAATTATGTAAATAGACCATGTCTCTAAGATTTGAAACAATAGTACTAACTAAAAGATAAAGACTAACTAAATCAAGTAATGTTAAACAATGTATTGATAATGTCTTAAGATTTGAGGAAATATTTTGCTAATTACATGGGGGTTTGTGCACGGTTATTACAGGTAATTGGAGGTTTGGTCGTGATAATAATGCTGCCACTAGTCGCACAACAAACCCAGCCGGCTTCATTCGTCTTCACCCACTTCCAAACATCCCCTGAATCCACGGGCATCTCGAGCAAGCCTTACGCCATCATAATGTCCGTCTTGCTGAGCAACTACTGCCTCTACGGCTACGACTCGGCGGCCCATTTAACCGAGGAGACCAAAGGGGCCGACAGGACTGGGCCTTTCGCCATTCTGTCCAGCATCGGCATCATCTCCGTCTTCGGCTGGGCCTACAACCTGGCCCTCACTTTCAGCATCAAGGATTTCGACTACCTCTACGACGAGAACAACGAGACCGGCGGCGCTCTCGTCCCGGCGCAGATCATCTACGACGCGTTCTACGGGAGGTACCATAACTCCGCCGGAGCCGTGGTTTTCCTCTGCATTATTTGGGGGTCCTTCTTCTTCTGCGGGCTCGCCGTCACAACTAGTGCTGCCCGTGTGGTAAGAAATAAAACTACCATATGTTTTTCTAGGGCTAAAAATTCGTCTGTCCCATTCCGTGGCCCGTCCCTGATCTTGGTCTGACTCATCCTTGAAACGTAAAAAAATGTATAACTGACCCGTCTCGTATTGTCTCCTTCTTGATTCTGTCTGACCCTCAAAGGTTGGGACGGGTCAGTAGGTCGACCCTAATCAACACACTACTGTCTTATAAATTACGTTTTGGTACCCAAAATTATTTTGTCGTATTATTTAGTACCTAAATTTTGTTTACAAATAAATCCATAAGTTTTGATGGTAAAATTATGTTTTGGTACCCAAATTTTTTATTTTTACAAGTTAGTACCTAAACTTTTATAATTTTACAAAGAGGTCCAATGTGGTGTGAGATATTTGTAGTTGCTAAGGGTCACAGGGTCAAAAAAGCGACACATCCCTAAGTTGTCCCTACCCTTCCCGATCCTTACAGGGTCAACAAATGACCCGTCCCTAATCTGACCCAATAGACAAACTGACACGTCTCGACCCTCAGGAACGGGACGGGTCGGGACGGATAAGTGGGTCTTCCGGGTCAAGCTTACACCCCGTTAGATATATGTGTATCGTACATGTTCGATTTGGTCATCAATATTTCTACTTATTGACCATTTTTAGAGCCGTGCAAAAATTTTCAGATATATGCACTCTCAAGAGACAACGGCATCCCATTCTCACCGATATGGAGAAAGCTCCACCCGAAGTCCAAAGTCCCGGTGAACGCGGTGTGGCTGTGTGCAGCCATCAGCATCATCTTAGGGCTCCCGATCTTGAAGATGGACGTCGTCTTCACCGCCATACTTTCGATAAGCACGGTTGGATGGGTGGGAGGGTATGCAGTGCCCATATTCGCCAGGCTGGTGATGGAAGAGCGAAACTTCAAGCCGGGACCGTTCTACTTGGGCAGAGCCAGGAGGCCGATATGCTTGGTGGCTTTCCTGTGGATCGGCTACACTTGTTCGGCCTTCCTGTTGCCGACGAGCTACCCTATAAGATTGAAGACCTTCAACTACGCGCCGGTTGCGCTTGCGGTGTGCATGGGACTGGTGATGCTGTGGTGGGTTCTGGATGCTAGGAAATGGTTCAAGGGCCCTGTTAGAAATATCGAGGTGGACAGTTCAAGTCAGCATTGTTGACAATATGGAGTAACTGAGAAAATGTACTTGTATCAGAAATTCAGCAACCAAGGTTCCCAATTCTCTATAACCAGTTACTTTTTTTGCCACCACCAAATGAACTTCTGAAACGTCTTTTCCAAGTAGTCTGGCCCAACGATGTTATAACCTGCTGATTCGAACATAAACTTTGCGTGTCCAAGAATCATCCCAATGTAAAGCAAAGGAAGTCCTAAATCACCTGCAATTACACCTTTCTGAATGCAAACTCATCACTGATTCACACATTTCCATACCAACCATAACAAGAGCGAGCTCTCATTCAGCAGTTCACAAACACAATACAAACACCCATCATCCAGATCACCCCCCACAATCCACGAATTCTACAAATCCTGCTCCTTTCTGAACCGATCTTCAATTCAAGATCAGACCCAATTCTCGCCTCTTGCTAGAATTCTGAATGAAAATCTTGTTTCTCTTTATTGAATGAATGAATCGTACAGAGTTCAGTAGAGAAGACTGAATTTATACTCTGTTCTACAGGAGGGAAAGTTAGTTACAGTCCTAACAACCTAGACAAATTACACTTTGATCCTATTTACATTTATTCTACCTACACTAATCCTAATCAACTATGTTAATTACAGAATGATACCTATATCATCTAATACCCCCCCCCCCCCGCAAGCTAAGCATGGATAGATCGCATGTTTAGCTTGGAGATGAGTTCCACAAACGTGTGCACTGGTAAAGCTTTTGTGAACGGGTCTGCAAGTTGAAGAGTTGTGGATATGTGCTGAACTTTCAACTTCCCAGCATTGACCTGATCGCGAGTGAAATGGCAATCCACCTCGATGTGTTTTGTGCGCTCGTGTTGAACTGGATTCTCAGTCATCTTGACGGCAGAAAGACTGTCGCAGTAGACCATGTAAGGTTGAGCAGGTTGAACAGGGAGCTGCTGAAACAAGGCTGTCATCCATTGTAGCTCCCGAGATGTATCAGCCAGCGCTCTATATTCCGCTTCTGCTGATGAACGAGAGATGGTCTGCTGCTTCTTGGATCTCCAGCTTATCAGCGAATTCCCTAAGAACACACAAAAACCAGTCACAGAACGTCTAGTATCAGGACATCCAGCCCAGTCAGAGTCAGAGAAAGCAGTAAGGCGAGTAGAGGAATTGCAAGGAAAAAATAAACCACGAGCAGGAGTTGTTTTCAAGTATCTAAGAAGTCTATGAGTAGCCTGCTCATGAGCTGTTGTAGGAGAGTCTACAAACTGACTAAGCTGGTTGACAGTGTAACATATGTCAGGTCGTGTGTTGCATAAATACTGAAAACGACCAATTAATTTCCTGTAACTAGAGTGAGCTGTCTCATCTAGCTTAGTTCCATCTTTAGCAGAGAGATGAGTTGCAGGAACAGAAGGGGTGGTTGCTGGTTTGGATGCCAAAAAACCAGTATCAGAGAGTAGGTCCAATGTGTACTTCCTTTGACACAGATGAATACCAGTTTCAGATCTGGAAACTTCCATGCCAAGAAAATATTTTAATGGACCAAGATCTTTTATTGTGAAAGCAACATCTAATTGATGTTTAACATACTTGATCTCATCTAAGTTATTTCCTGTGAGGATAATATCATCGACATATACTAATAAGGCTGTAAATGAATTGGTAGAATACTTAGTGAACAGACTGTAATCACTATGAGATTTCTTGTAGCCTAGAGTTTCCAGAGTTGTGGCCAGTTTTTCAAACCATTGACGGCTTGCTTGTTTCAAGCCATAGAGAGATTTGGTGAGTTTACAGACTTTATTCTGATCAGAGGGGTGTACTTGTAGACCTGGGGGCAGCTTCATGTATACATCTTCATGGAGATCGCCATGTAAGAAAGCTGTATTGACATCTAGTTGTTCAAGATGCCAATTATAGATTGAAGCTAGTGCTAAAAGGATTCTGACAGTAGTCATTTTAACTACTGGGGAAAAAGTATCCAGATAGTCAATTCCAGGGGTTTGTGTATACCCTTTAGCCACTAAACGAGCTTTGTATTTATCAATTGACCCATCTGGTTTGAATTTTAGTCTAAAAACCCACTTATTTCCTATGATGGGAACATTAGGTGGGGGATCAACAAGTACCCAAGTTTTGGTTTTCTCAAGAGAAGCAAACTCAGAATTGACAGCAGCTAACCATTCTTTGCTCTTAGCTGCCTCTCTGTATGTTTTTGGCTCTCTGATATGAGTTATTGATAAGGCAAAATGTCGATGAGAAGGGCTGAGAGACCTGTAAGTCAGCATATTTTGGATAGGATATCTAGTTGAAGACAGGAGATTGGCTTGACTAACTAGATTACACTTGTAATCTTTTAGTTTAGCTGGTTTAACAATCTGTCTTTGTGATCTCCTCAACTGAGGTTGTGTAACAGGAGTAGAATCAGGAATTTGTACTGATGATTCTGGAGGAACAACCTCTGGATTAGTTGTGAGAGAAGAGGGTACTGAGTGTGAAAAAGTCTTCGAAAGAGTGGTGTGTGCTTTGGTAAAGTCCAGGTCTGAAGAGACCACTGGGAACACAGGAAGAGGAACTGATGTAGTCAAATCATGGGATGACTGAAGAAAAGGGAAAATAGTTTCATGAAATGAAACATCCCTTGATACAAAGATGTTATGAGTAACTAAATTGTACAGTCTAAATCCCTTGGTGCCATGAGGATGGCCTAGGAAAACACAAGGGTTGGACCTGTGATCTAGTTTAGTTCGAGTGGCTTGAATGGTTGCAGCATATGTGAGACAACCAAACACTCTCAAATGATGTAAAGAAGGTGGAGAACCATGTAGTTTCTCATAAGGGGTTAAGTTCTGAAGAAGAGTAGTGGGAGTTCTATTGATTATGTGAACAGCATGCATTGCTGCAAAATTCCAGAACTGTGGTGGCAGTGAAGCTTGAAACAATAAAGCCCTAGTGACTGCTAAGATATGCTGGTGCTTTCTTTCGACAATTCCATTCTGTTGAGATGTGTAAACACAAGTAGTCTGATGTATGGTTCCTTTAGAATTATAGAAATCTGGAATGTGAAATTCTAGGCCATTATCTGTTCTAATGGTCTTGATTTTGCTGTGAAACTGTGTTTCAACAAAAGCAAAGAAAGAAATGATGATTGGACGTGCTTCAGACTTGGCTTTCATTGTAAAGATCCAAGTATGCCTACTGAAATCATCTACTATTGTTAAAAAGTAAGAATGACCTTGTAATGAAGAGACAGGAGCATTTCCCCAAATGTCAACATGGAGAATATCAAAAGGAGCAGATGTTTTACTAACACTGGTGGGAAAAGGAAGCCTCTTCTGTTTGGCTTTGGGACATATAGTACAATGGAAACCAGACTGAGCTGTAATAGAACTGTCTAGATTGTGGAAAAATTTGAGTTTACAATCTGGAATATGGCCGAGTCTGTAATGCCATATATCAATGGAGTTCTTTGAAGTGGAGAAAGCTACTGTAGGAGAAACAGGCTGAGTGGTGTTAAGAATGAGATTATGCTGTAATTGGGCTGTTTGAGATGGATGATGTAAGAGATAGAGTCCATCAACCAGACTAGCTGTTCCAATCATTGTCAAACTGGGGTAGGCCTGAATGAAACACAGGGAATAGTGAAACCATAAGCAAATGGTTGAACTACGAACTAGTTTGCTGACAGAGACTAGATTAAAACTGAAGGCAGGTACAAGAAGAACATCATAAAGAATCAAATGTTCTGAGTATTTGACAGTGCCTATAGCTGAAACTGAGACTTTACTACCATCAGGCATATGGACAAAGGTGTTTGAAACTGCCTTAGACTGGAAAAAATGTGTGGGTGAACAGATAATGTGATCTGTTGCCCCTGTGTCCAAAATCCATCTGTTCTTTAAATGACAGTTAACATTTAAAGCATAATGTAAAATACCTGATGGCTCAGTTGCGTCAAAAGCATGAGAAGCAACAGAGTTTGCACGACTGATCATATTATGCTGACCAGAGCCTTCACTGTCATTAGATGCTGAGTAATGAGCTGGATTGTTAGCTGTGTATGCATCTTGAAATGCAGATGGTGGAGGATAGTGCTGTTGCTGAGGAGCTAAGAACTGCTGCTGCTGTGGAGCAGAAAACTGGGACTGAAGACCAGGAATCTGGGAGGAAGGAGCAGTAGCTTGTTGCTGAGGATATGGTTGCATGAGATTCAACATCTTATGATAATTCTGCTGAAAACTCTGCCAATCTGACTGGTTAATGACTACTGTTCCAGCAGATGTGATATCAGAAGAAATGCTATTAGCCTGCCTAGTTGGTGGCTTCTTCTTAGACTGATAACCAGGAGGATATCCATTTTTCTTGTAGCAGATGTCCTCAGTATGACTAGTGTACCCACAGTATGTGCAAACAGGCTTCTTGCCCTGTTTCTTGAATCCTTGCCCAGCACCCTGAACACCCAGATGTTGCCCAGAAGCTTTGGTAAAGAACGCCATACTTTCTGAGGCAGGAGTAGGGTTCAATTGAGGTTTAGGAAGTAATCCATTCTCCCTTTCATGCTGAACCATCATGGCAAAGACCTTATTGATGGGAGGAAGTGGATCTAGGAGCATAACTGTGGATCTAGGTCCATTAAAGCTATCGTTCAAGTTCCTGAGGAATCTAATGACCTTATCGTTCATATAATCCTTTCGCAATGAAGCCAGAACGCAATGACAAGTGATGCCGCAATCACAATCAGGTATGAAACGATAATTGGCTAACTGATCCCACAAAGCACGCTGCTTAGAGTAATATTGAGAGACGCTCATTGTACCTTGCTTGAGGTTGAAGATCGATTCTTGGAGATCAGCAATGCGAAAAGAATCACCCTGAGAGAACTGCTCGCGGAGCTCGGTCCAGGCACCAATGGCAGTAGTGACATACAGGATACTCTCAGCAATCGTAGGGTTCACCGACCTCTGAATCCAGCTGAGAAGTAGCTTGTTATTGCGATTCCACGGCTCGAGGAGTGGAGAATCATCATGCGGCTGAGGGATTTTGCCATTAAGAAACCCTAATTTGTTCTTGCCGTCGATGACGAGAACCATCGATCTTTCCCAGCTCGAGAAATTGTTCTCGGTGAGTGGCTGAGAGATGAGGCATTGGCCCCAGTTTTCCGATGGATGGATGAAGAACGGGGAGGCGGGATCGGTGATCGGAACGCCTTTGTAGAGGATCACACCAGAATTGCTCTGGCGACCTCCAGTGTGAGGATTTGCGGCATCGTCGCCGGAAGAAGAATCATGAATCGCCATAGGAGGACGATCGCAAGAACTCAATGGAGAAGGAAGAGAGAGATGCGGAAGCGAGAGTTTGAGGCGAAAATCGGCTCAGAGGAGCTCTGATACCATGCTAGAATTCTGAATGAAAATCTTGTTTCTCTTTATTGAATGAATGAATCGTACAGAGTTCAGTAGAGAAGACTGAATTTATACTCTGTTCTACAGGAGGGAAAGTTAGTTACAGTCCTAACAACCTAGACAAATTACACTTTGATCCTATTTACATTTATTCTACCTACACTAATCCTAATCAACTATGTTAATTACAGAATGATACCTATATCATCTAATACCTCTTCTGCTCATTCATCTCAAACGAGGCAGAAACTCTTCGACTTTGATATCATTCTGGAGCTTTGAAGCTTTCAATTTCGAGCGATCGTGATGGGGATTCGGAGTAAGGATCCGTCTGAGGAGATCGATATTCTTGGGGATGACGGGAATTTGACTAATTGAGTAAAGGCAGGGCAACGAACGGTAGCAGGTAGGGGTGGGCATTGGGTGGGTCGGGTGGATTTTGACCATAAAATGCACCCACCCCGCGCTTAAACGGATTGATAATTTTTAACCCACCACCCACCCACATTTAGTCTCGGGTTGGGTCGGGCGGATGGTGGATGATGTGGGTGGGTTTGTGGGTTCACCCACATCACAATGTATATAATATAAAGGAGTCAACTTGACATGATAATAGGTGAAGAGAATCATCGAGGGAAACAAGAAGTTGAAATAGGGCGAAAAATGTCGAATTAGTTCTTAAATTTGATAGAAATTCTATTATGAAAGAGTTTTCTACAGATTGAGACGATTATTAGGTGCAAGGAACTAAGGAAAATAATTCCACAAAGGAAAGAGCGGTGATCTAGGCACAAGAATTAGAGGAAAAAGTAAAGGGAAGAAGAGGGAATCTCTATTTGGAAGGTTGGCTTTGAGGTTCAAACTCCAGGAGCAGTCCGAGTTTATATCTAACGTCTCCACTCTCCTCTCTCTAGCGCCAACGACTTTGATCTTTTTGATGTCGGGTTGAGCGGGTCACCCGCACACTCACCCACAATCCACCCACCACCCGGCGGATGGCTCCCAGCGCAACCCGTCATCCACCCACAGACCCACCCACTTAACGAAGTTCGGGTCAAATGCGGGTGGGTCGGTCCAAACCTGCGGATGATCCGCCCGTATGCCCAGCCCTAGTAGCAGGGAATGATTTCGTCGCCGTCGTAGGGAAAAGAACAAGCAACGGAAGGTAAAGCTTCGATCTTTCCAATTATACGAAGCCGTTTGATGAGTGCGTCGTGGACTCATGGCATCGTATAAATTGCACAAACGATGCCGTTCTGTTTGGTTAGAAAAGTTGAAGTCAGCTCTCCTCTGCCTTCCCCAGAGTGGAAGAGAGCCGAGTCAGTCCATGTAATCAGTCGACGCTGAGAAGCGAGAAATTTTGGCAAGGCGGAGCTAGATTGGAATAAGGTATGAGTTTCACCGTAATTCTTCCGATGTGAATATATGTTTTCTGTTTGCTTCCCGGGAAAATGATGGGCGAAACTGAAATGGGTAATTCGAGTTTTGTATGTTGATTTATGGCGAGCAAGTTTTTGGGCTCGTACACGATGATCTTAGATCTCGCTGTCGATCAATTGGATTTTCGAGCGGGGCAGAGTGTTGTTGATTCTCCGCCGAGTTATTACCTGCGGCGATTTGTTGGAATCTGCTGAGACCATGATTGTTGGTGTTGCCAGAGATCTGCTTTGATATTTCGAGAACATTTTTTTGTCTGTAATTGATGTTTTTTCCGGATGGAATTTGAAGGCAAGACATGGCGGCAGGAGCTGGAAGTTCGATGCTTTACTCGCTTCTTCTGTTCTTGGTCATTCTTTCACTTCAAGAGATGTACCGCGGGAAGCTGGCGTCTACTGAGTTGTTCACCATTCTGGGAGGATTCACTAGCTCTCTCCTTTTCCTTATGCTCTTAACTGTGAGTTAATTTCACCTTGTTCATGGGCATCCTTCTCATTTTTGTTTATGTTAAAGGCGTGAAATGAAGTTGTGGAACGATGAATGTACTGCTTTTCTTTTGCTTTCCTCCATTTGTGATAGTATGGATGAGCTTGGGATTTGGAAATTTACATGTTTCAATCACCTTACCTTGTGATGGTTGATTTCTCATAGTAGTATAGAATCAGTGTTCCTAAGGAATAACGTCATGAAACTACATCCTTTTATGTTCTATCCTCTCCCACACCTTCAAACCCCAATATCTATTACTTCTAGCTGGGATAATTTGGTCGCATTTTAAGCTTGAAGGCTCTGTGAATTATCCCCCCACCCACAATTTTTCACATGTTCGAACTTTTCCTGCTGCCATAACCTATTTGAATGATGTGATCCTGATCCTGACAAGTAAATGTTAGTTTTCTCTGCTGGTGCATTCTGTTTCATCAAGTATCTCTTACTTTGCTCAACATTAGTTGAAATTGATTAAGCAGCATAATATGTCCTTGTAAGTTGTTCTGTAATCTGGAATAAGCTTTGATGTGATGCTGTGCATCTCAATTCTGTTTTGCAGTTCATTGGTAATTTCCAGGAATCAAATGGCATGAAGACCGGGTGGGGTGCTGGTGAGTGACTGAGTGCTTTTAATTCTCTTTTTTGGCTTCTTCTTCCGAAGCAGTATGTTTATTGCTTATGCTGTAGCTTCATGATGCCTGGTAGTCATTATAGTGAATCTTCCTTAAGCCTGGCTGCAAATGCTGCTTTTATCCTTACCGAGTCCCCTTCAGTTATAAACTTCGATCAGTTTTGAAAGCCATTTCTCTCATCATTACAATTTGTAAGTAACAGTTTCTCTCTGAACAGTTGTATTGGCTGAAGTCGTTGCTCTGATTGCTGCTGGAACTGTCCATCGGGTTTGCATAACAACTTGGTAATCTTTTGACACTACTAGTCATTCAATTCTACTTTTTCTTGTCGGTTGTAACATTTTTTTTATTTTTGGGAAAACATCGTCGAGTTCTTAACCCTATTATGCAGACATGTTTTGAATTGCTCCCCTTGATTCACATTGGTATGAGTGTGATTCCTGGCATGTCATTTCCTGAAGATATGACTGGTGATATATAAAACGATCCCTAATGGTTGTGGGGCCATGTTATGCAATTAAAGCAGCAAGTCATCTTTGGGTAGAATGTGTTCTGGGTTTCTACTTCTTGCCTTGGTTCACATGTTTTTTTTTTTTTTTAACATAGACAGTAGGCAGGTAAATCCCTAGCCAATACAGAGTCAAAGAACAAAAGATAAACACCGTGCGGTAGTCGACATTTGTCGAACTTCCGATGAAAGGGCCTGTTATGCCACAAAATGGGCAGCCCTATTAGCAGCTGTACCTGCAAAATGAGCAAACACATAGCCGCAAAAGGCAGAAATCTATAAACAGTATATATGTTCATATTCGTTAGGCATGTAGTTATGCTATTACCTGTTAAGCAATGGAAGGCACAATGCTTGTTGGCCAAATGGATCAAAACTTACTTGTACATTGTTGTGCAGAAACTTAAAACTTTGTTTTGTCATTGGTTCTCATTGGAAGATAGTTATATTGCATCATTAGTATTGATGCTGATTCTTTTGCTACCATCTGCTGGCAGTTTCTTGTTCTCGGCTGGGTTACTTTATGAGGTCAACAAGCTTTCCGGGATCGCTCAATCTAAAGTTGAATCCAAAACAAGGAGGCATTGATGTCATACCTCTCTTGGCAGCTTATTTATAAACCGAACAGGGAATGTGAGGTTGCACCATTTCGATATCCTTTCCGAAGCAGCACAAGAGATGCATTCATTGGCGTGCAGACTCCCGGCTAAAGGCCATCTAATAGGGTAACTAGAAGATGTTAGCAGTATTCGAGCTTTCCTGTTGCTTTGCTCGAATAGAGAGAACTTGGTATGAAGCTTTCTGTTTTGATCCCTCTGCCTCTTCGAAAATGTAGAACTGTCGATTTATATGAAATTGCATGAAGCCGTTTTCAGGACTGGCATCATAATTTCCGCCAAAATTCTAGACAGTGAAAGATTATGTGAGCAAGTTGCTTCAAGAATGAAGATGCAACGATGCCTCAATGAGTGATGCTACAGAGGGATAAAATATATTGGTTTCGTCGCTCGTTGTGTTTCAGTGAGTGCGGCAGTGCATATTTGAACATGATCCATTCTGTTCTTTTCAGATAAGTTTCGGTAAGCTTGCAATATATTTCCATTAAGCAGCAGCCTTATCTTGACACCTTCCACTCTTTCAAAAAACTAGCTTATTACCCGGCCCGTTGGCCGGATTACTGTATGTTACCCACTTGTGGAATGGGAGAGAAAGCAAGTGAGAGTGAAAGGATTGAGATTCCACTTGATTAGGACCAAACCCACTAATCCGATTCTTCCCGACCCGCCCCAACCTAAAGGGTCAGAAAGAGTCAATAAGAAAATACGAACGGAGATGATTAGTCATATATCTTGACTCTTCAGAAGTGGGTCAAACAGGATCAAGGTTGGGTGAGGGCAATTTTTAGCGCTAAGCAGAGTTCTGGGTTGAATAACTTTACTTAGGCCTAGAAATTGGTGCTGATGCAGACTGCAGTTTTTATTATACCATCATCAATCATCATTGAATTAGTCCTGGGCATCCCTCCCCGTTTTCGGTCTGAATTCTAATGATGGCTTCATTCCTTGCACCAGCCATATCAGCGAGTTGTCATCTCTAGCATGATTTGCCTATGTACAAATGATACAATTTGAGTATGAAACTGAATTCAAAGAAAAGGAAAAGAGAATTCTATCACATGCCAATAAATACACACATAATAGTTGAAGCTAAGTGAAAGTCATTACTCGCACATCAATTCTCAAAAATTACAAACTAAACAATGGCTAGAATGGCACTGAAACTACCAAGAATCATGGACGATAAAACTTGTCAAATTAAATAATCCTTATAGTACTGAAACTACCTTCTAACTTGAAATAATACATGATCACAGTTCATAGCACTCTTATCACTATGAATTGGTTGCAGCTCGTCCTTATCACTGCCTCCCAAGCTCAATTCAAACAGAATAGAGACCGTTATGTAAGATAACCATATCCTTATTGATCATAATTCCTTTCTTCACTCCATTTTTTTCGGAGAAAAGAATTATCCCCCTCTCCTGCATTTCCCTTTCCCCCTCTCTTCTCTCTCTTCTTCACAAACCGATCCCTAAACCAGCAACAACAACACAAAAATAGTCTTCGCCTCTGCCATCTCTATCTACTGAACGCGTTGGTGGCAAGACAGGACTGCAGAAGCAAAATTTTCTAAAATCAAACTAAATTTTTTGAAGGAGACTCAACCACGAAAAAAGAGTAAAGCAACAATGCTAATAGTTCAGATGGTTGGTTTTGATGTTATACATTGCTTTTGTTATGGTCTCCAATATATCAACTGCAACAGAGATGTTTCCTCTAATCATCTTTAGTGCATGATTTAGAAGCAAGTCCTCTTGTTTGTGTCAAACGGAAACATTCATGGGTTCTTAACTCCCCTGTTAGTGTAAATGCAGCAGCAGCAAAGAAGTTTGACAACACAGCAAGCACCCAGGCAAAATGATACAATGCAGTAGGTGATATGTGTCTCGAAGGTTTTGAGTTACTAAAGTTCGTGTTACAAATAAACATGAATTACAATGGATTATTTTATTAAGCAAACATCCCCTCTAATCATACAAAGATCATATATCCAATTCACAAATAATTAAGCCATAAAAAATCATCACACATCCACCACCTTTGATTGCCTAAATTTGGTTTTTCGCAAAGTTATGAACTCTTAAGGGTAACGTTCATGGGTAGTCTGTTTCATAACTCTAGAGAGCACAGTAAGCAACCACCAGCCAGACACAGTGCGGTAGGCGAATATGATTCTCAATTCACAATTTCTCACCACCGGAAGTAAGAACAGACCATAATAAGCGTAGCGTTCATGGGTGGTTTGTTTCATAGCACTACTACACAATTTGTTAAAATGAAAGAAAGGTATTTAGCAACACGGCGGAACAACTTTTACAGGCCAACAACGACAACATGCTACAACCACCAGAACTGGTATCACAACTCATAGGGTAAATCAAAATATTTACTCTCAAATTAAGTAGTTCCAACATCGAGCAATCGTCAAGCACATACACCATCACAAAAGTCACGGAACCTGATTCACAAAGCATTCAAATATTTGAGGACATTTCTGCAAAGGTACAACTTATATGTCTTTTTTCCAAGCCATTTCCATCAATATGCTAATAAATTTGCAATGCATAAAACAAATGGGCCAAAACTTGAAATTCAGCCCGTCTGACCGACCCATGCCAAATTCTAATTATTCTTTACTTTTAAACTTTCTATTTGAAAATAAAAAATAGTGAAAGAAAAGAAAAGACTACAATTCGCCATTTGCACATCACTTGTTCGGGAATAAAACCATAAAATTCAAAAGGAACTGAAAATGTTTAGGATCGTTTTAATGTTTAAAATAACCAAATAGATCTTTATGTTTAGTTTTTTACTAACAAATACCAAACGATTCCCTATAAAATACACTATAATTTGATCATTATGATATCAAATAATTATAAAATATATATTTGAAATGATAAAAATTGGACTAATTGGGTTGATCGAGGTTGAACCATTGAATAACTTTAAAATACATTATATTTTAGCCACTAAGATATAAAATAATAGCATAATATATATTATGCCAGAGAAAATAGCTTGTTTTAGAATGGCAAACCAATTATGTTCATTTGTTTTACTTGATAGTCAAATCCCATGTAGGTCAGGCCCATTCAACTCTTTTATTTTATGGTTAGCAGTTAGCCCATTAGATACCATGCATTAGTTTATTGTTAAAATTTTTATTTTTAACAATAAAAAGGAGTATTATTTTTCCCTTTTCATATATATATTTTATCACCACGGAGAAATAAAAGGGCTTAAAGAAAAAAAATTGACACTCCTGGACCCGTTTAAATTTGCGTGTGTATGGTAAGTTGGCCCGTTCCACAGAGGAAAGAGAAAAAAAAATTGACACTCCCTATTCTACCATACGCTCATGGAGCAGGGAATTTGAAATGGGGGAAGGGTTTTTCCCTCCCTGCTATTATATATTTTTAATTTAAAAAGGTACAACAAATGTACTTAGTGTGATTGGTTATTATCCTTGCTTTTCTATAAAATGGTCATGGTTCGAATCCTAGTACGTGTCTTTTTAATGAATAAAAAAAAGTAATTGTGAAGACCAAAATGTCCTTCCTACTTTCACTCTCGTTGCAAAAAATTTGAAATGGGGAAGCTATATTCCCCTTTCGCGTATTATAAGTAGAGTAGATAGATGGGGTTCCGGATCGGTTTCTTCGAAAGTATTTATCAAATTTAACGATTTAATTTTAAGTTTCTTTTCAATATTCGCGTCTTGCTCCTATTTAACTATGTTAATAGCTCCATTTCCAAAAGGCGAAATCCATGACGCGTACCAAAACGAAGTATTATGAAGCAGATTAGAAATATAATAAATTACACCATAAATAATATAAAGTAGATGAGAATCACACAACACCAAAAAATTTCATAAAACATACCAGAAAACTCAAAGCAAACTACAAATTTTTTTACAATATACCATGAACCTCGTAAAGCATATCATAAGTCTCCTGAAGCATGCAAAAATCCTCATAAAGCATAACACAAGTTCATTGAAGCATACCAAAAACATATAAAGCATACCTCAAGTTCTTGGAGCACACCAAAAATCTCATAAAGCCGACAACAACTTTCCTGAAGCATACCATATAAACATATAAAGCAGACTACAAGTTTCCAAAAGCATACCAGAAACTTCATAAAACATACCACAAATTTCCTAAAGCATACGAGAAACATCATAAAGCTTACTACAAGTTCTCTGAAGTAAAGCAAAAACCTCATAAAACATACCATAGCTTCCCTAAAACATATCAGGTTCCTCATAAACTATAACACAAGTTTATTAAAGCAGACCACAATATTCTTAAAAACATATTAGAAATCTCATAATGCAGAGCACAAGGTCCTAGAAGCATACCACAAACCTTATAAAGTAAATCACAAATTTATTAAAACAAACCACAAGTTTTTTAAGCATACCGGAAACTTTATAAAAGTGGACCTATTTGTAAATTAAAAGTTGAAGTATAAAATGTAAGACATAAAAAAAAAATGGTGCTAAAATGTATTTTTTCATAAATACTTTAGGACTTAAATGAAAAAATAAAAATTTAAGCATCATATCTTAAAATCTATAAGTTTAGATACCAAAGTGTAATTTTCATATGAAATCGAAATCCGTGAGACAGAATTGAAAGGAGCTATTGTGAATGCATAACAGAGAGGTGTTAATTTTCACCCTATCTTATTCCTCATTTGTTAATGAGCACTTCTACTATGCTATAAAGTATTGATTTGTTAATGAGCACTTCTACTATGCTATAAAGTATTGATGATTTAATGTATAACTTGAAGTTGTACCATAACATTAAATGTATAAGTTTAGGTTGTACCCTTATGTTATGGTACAACTTAAAGTTGTACCGTCACATAAAGGTACAAGTTCAGGTTGTACCATAAAGAATTTGTACAAAAGAGTATAGGTACAATATGAAATTGTACCATAACATTAAAAGTACAATTTCAAGCTGTATCATAAAGAAAAAAACCTATATCACCAATGCTATATAGCATTGTAAAAGTTCTCTTTGTTAATATAGGTATCATTTCATAAAATAAAAATACTTGAAGCTACATATATGAAACCAACTAGGCAACTACTAGTACTATATGAAGGCTAATTAATCTAACCGCTTGGCCTTGCATTTGCTTATTTTCTTGCTAGGCTTACAAGTAAATTAAAGCCTCAAATTAGTAATTAATTGCTGGGCCTGGGATGTTTTTGGTTATGATGTCCATTTCCACCAGCAAAGTTCATTCTTTTCCTCTCTTTCTAGTCCCATGCATGCGCGGGTACCTACCACACCAAACAACAACAAAAAAATTTGGTGAAACCAAACAACAAATTTTTGTTGAGTTGTTACCGGTGTAATTTTTTTTTCCCTGAATTAATCTATTATATATGTGGAGTTTTTC